GGGGAAGGGAGGGAGAAAGAGAGGGAATAGCAATGTGTGGTTGTCTCTTGCACGCCCCCTACTGGGGACCTGGCCCATAACCCAGGCACGTGCCTTGAGTGGGGATTGAACCGTCAATCCTTTGGTTCACAAGCTGGTGCTCAATCCACTGAGCTACACCAGCCAGAGCTAAATTACTCTTGTTTTAAGCTACTGAGTTTGTGGACATTTGTTACAGGAGTTCTAGAAAATGAATACATACTTTAGTACTTGGAAGTAGAGTGTTGCTGTAACAAATACCTAAAACTGTGGCAATGGCATTGAATTGGATAATGAGTAAGAGGTAGAAGCATTTTGAGATGCATGAGAGAAAATCCTAGCCTTCCTTGAAGAGAGTATTAATAGATAGGGACTTTAAAGGCAATACTGGTGAGAGCATAGAAGGGACTGAAGAGCATGATAAACTTCCTGTTATCTTAGAAAATGCATCTCTCAGCATGATTAGAATATGGATATTTAAGAAATTTCTGTTGAGAGCTCAGAAGAAAATAAGGAACATATTATTGGAAATTGCGGGAAAAAACAATCCTTGTGATATGGTAGCAAAGAACTTGACTGAATTTTGTCCTATAGTTATGTGGAAAGCAGAACTTGCAAGGGATAAACTTGGATAATTAGCTGAGGAAGTTTCTAAGCAAAATGATGAAGGGGTGGACTGTTATTTATAATAAAACATGAGGAAAGAGGTAAATTGAGGAAAAGACTGGTAAGCAAAAACCAACCAGCACTTGAGGATCTGGAAGTTTCTTGGCTTATCCATATTACAAAGTATGAAAAAAAAATTAGTAGATACACTTTTGGGAAAGTGTGCTCTGGAGAGAGGACCAAGGGCAGCTGGAGAAACTTTTGCTGAAGAGTTAAGGCATGTGACTCATGGATCCACTCAGTCTCTCAGCAGAGTCATGAATAGAAATGGGGCTATTCGAGAAGGATCTGTGGGGGACCCTCTTGTCTAACGGCACAAATCCTCATGATGTACAGGGTAGACCCACAAGGTTTTTGAGAATGTTCTATCAGCATAAACACTTCTGGTTGGCCTGAAGGGACAGAGACAGGACAAATGAAAGTGGGCTACCAGATTTTCAGAAATTCCATAGGTAGGAAATAGGCTGATATAGAGCTACTGAGCTATAAGCATAAGATGCCCTTCAACAAAAAGAAAGAATGACTACAAGGGCAGAATCATGGATGGAGAGGCAGAGGCTGGATTTGTGAGAGCAAAGACCTATCAAGCTGCCCCGGGGACAAAGGCCTATGGAGCTATAGGCCCAGATGATGTAGATTTGAGCCAAAGAGGATCATTATCCAGCCTTGAAATCAAATAAAACTTGCCCAGTTGGAGCTGATGACTTCTTTATTCCTTCCATTTTCTCCCTTTTAGAATGGGAATGTCTAACTGATACTTGCCTCACCACTGCATTTTGTTAAGTGACCTTGTAATTTCAAAGGTCAAAAGATGGAGAATTTTGCCTCTAGATGAATTATATCAAGGTTCACCCATTCCTGATTTAGGTGGCTTAGATGAAGATTTGGGACTTCTTGAGCTCATAATATTTAGATGAGGGTTGAGACTTTTGGAGATATTGGGATGGGATGAATGTATTTTGCATGCGGGGCACATGTAAATTTGTGGGGCCAAAGGTTCAACTGTAGTAGGTTGAGTGGTGGCCCACCAAAAGACATGCTCATGTCCTAATCTCTATAATCTGTGAATATGGTCATATTTGGAAAATGTTTCTTTGCAGATGTAACTAAGTCCAGACTTCTGAGATGAGATCATCCTGGATTATCAGGATGGGCCCCAAATCCAATGACAAGTGTTTGCAGGGAGGCTCACAGAGGAAGACAAAAAGGAGAAGGCCATGTGAGGATAGAAGCAGACATTGTAGTTATGCAATCACAAGCTAAGGAATGCTTGGAGCCTCCAGCAGTTGGAAGACACAGGAAGGATTCTCCTCCAGAGCCTTTGGAGGGAGTGCAGCCCTGGCAACACCTTGGTTTTGGTCTTCTAGCCTCCAGAACTGTAAGAGAATCAATTTCTATTGTTTCAAGCCACCCAGTTGTTGATAATTTGTCACAGAAGTCCTAGGAAAATAATACAGAGAAAATAAAATTGCTACATAACAAAAAAGTATCCCAAAGCAGTGTCTTAAAATAATAATCATCATCTATTTTGTTCATGAGGTTGGGGGACATCTGGGTTTAGGTAGGCATTTCTCACTCAGGGTCATCAGATGGTTTTAACCAGAGGGTGGCAAGAGCTGGACCATCCTGAAGTAGCTTTACCTCATATGTGTGGCACTTGGACTACGATTGAAACAGATAGGGGCCGGAGCTGTGGCCCCTTGGCCATCTCTTTCTCCCTCTGTGTGGTCCCCACATGATCTTCTTACAAATACACACCCAGCCACAAAGAAAACATCTTTTGATGGGTATGTTAAGGAATTTGCAGACAGTATCATTGACTCAATTCAGGGGAGATGATAAAGTTCTCCCCTCAAAATTTCCTTGCTTTGTGGGGCAAGGAAGCTGCAATATTTATATCCCGGCAACCATCAGTCATCCACTAAGTTATAGGCTGCCTGGGAAAAACATTCTCAGTTCCTTCCAATTCTCCATGAGAATAGGAAACATGGGTTCTGGCAGCCTGAAGACAAACCTCAGAAAAATGCAGGTCATGGCTGTTGGGAATGAAAGCACCTGGGAGAGAAAGTGTGCACAGGCACTGTACTAGATTCCTGGGGATGTTGGTAGAGCTCTGAGATCATCTGGGGCATAGTGCCAACTCCATGTTGAAATGCAATGCATCGTGCTGGTGCTGTTTCCTGGGACTGGGAAAGTCAGGATTAAGCAAATATATGTGAAAATGTGTTATTTCTTTAGGAAAAAATAATAAGGCCCATGCCTCTCATCATACAAAAATATAAGTTCCATAGTAATTAATAGCTAATTGTAAACAAACTGATAAAAGTATGGAGGAAAACATGTGTGGTAAAGATGACCCGTCTAAGCAAGATGCAAACCCAGAGGTAATAAGAAACAGACTGACACTTCACATAATATTTAAAATGTAGGTGTGATAAGAGATAATATAAAAAACTAGACAGAATTTGGGAAAAAATAACTATCACATAGGAAATAGGAAAACATAAGATAATCAGAATGTATAAAGATATCCTATAAATCTGTAAGAAAATGAAAAATAACCAATAGAAAAATGGGCAAAAAATATGAACTGGTGATTCACAGAAGGACTAGGCATGTCAATAAACAAGAGTTTGCTAAACCAGCAACATGGAAAATAAAACTCAGTGCGGTATCATTTTATTTCCATTAAATTGGCAAAAATTTTTAAAAGATTGATTATCTTCATGAGCTAGAGTGTGGCTATACTTCCACACATTTTAAATTGGTTGAGCCTTTCTGGGGAACAGTATGGCAGTATTTACCCACATTAATAATATGCACATTCTTTGACTAAAATTCTACTTTGAGAAGCCTATCAGAAATGCCCAGAACGATATACACATGCAGATGCTTACTACAGCATTATTTGTAACAGGGGAAAAGTGGGAAAAAACCTAAGTGTTAAATAGTAGGAAAATGTTTAGATAAGATGGAACAAGAAATATACACAACCAATTATCCCAAGAAATAGTCTTTTTCAGCCATTAAAAAATACAAGATTTATAGACCAAAAAAACTACAAGAAAAAAGCATAATAGATAAAAGCAAGTTGTAGAACAGTGTTGTCCCTATGATCCCAGTCACATTTAAATCAAATGTAAGCGTATGTGAACACCATGTTTGCATATACCTAATGTCAACAAAAAAGGAGCTGTACACAAACCTGACAAGTTGGGGAGTAGGTGGGGAACACATGGCAGGCCTTACAAACTTACTGACCTGAAGTCACCACACAGGATAGTATGAACATAAAAATAATTCCTAAGTGGGCCATGGTGATCAGTCAAGTCCCAGCTTGTAGCTTTCATGATAAAGATCAATTTTTACCTTAATTAAGCCCTGTCCATTGTCTTTGGGCATCTAGGACAACATACCTTTGAAATGTGATTTCTCTTCCAGACTCCTGGAAAGCACAACTGTGGGCACCAGAGCTAAAAGAGGCTTCTCATTATTATCTTGTTGCCTGGATATCATCTCCACTTATTGTTAATGTTACATGTTAACTACCCAGCACCTACCAATGGGAAAGGAGTATGTATCTCTCCATTTTACTTTTAATCAAATCCTAGAAATTAACAGCTCCACACCCCAGCTTTCTCGCCCCTCAATAATTTACCACCAATGGATTTCATGTAACCCTCCTTACCTTACCTCCTTTGACTCCAATGTATAAAGAGCACAAAACTGCCATGCTACAGAGCATTTTCTCAGTCTGGGAAATTGTTCCAGGAATGTACTCGAAATTTTGGCTCAAATAAACTCATGTAAAAAAACTTATCATTAGGTTGGACAGTCTTTCATCCGACACTATGAAAACACTGGAAGGTTCCACACTGCTCTGTGACAATACCGTAGACAAAGCCTTAGTTCATGCATAACATACGGTACTGTGTAAGAGTTGGCTACTTTCATTCATATTTGTGTATTTGTCATAATAATTCATTCTGGGTTTACTTATGTAATTTGAAAGTAAAGGTAATGGCTTTCAATTACATTAATAATTCTCCCTGTGCCCAAATGCAGGCAGAGGGCAAGGACTATTTAATTTCTCCAGCGCGAAAGCCCCTCACGGTGGCTAGCACACCTTGGTCTCGTAGGACACGTCCCAAGAACCAGAGAGTTGCTTCCAACGCTCCACGCCAGACTGCAAGACTCTCAGTATATAAATATTTAACCCACCCGTCAGTGCCCTAGCTTTTCTCCTTCCCGCGGAGCCCGAGGCGCGAACGCGCAAGCGCGAGTAGGCGACGGCCAGCACTCACTAGCCCCGTCCCCAGGAGCTAATACGTCAATAGGCCGCGCCTCGGACTGAAACTCGCCTTCCGGAAGGAAGCCCGAGAGGCTGATTATGGCGACCACCGCCGAGCAGTGGGTGCTGGTGGAGATGGTACAGGCGCTATACGAGGTGAGCTGGGCGGCTCGGCGGCCCGGCAGGCGATGACCACATCGGCTCTGGGGAAGGGGAACGACTTGTGCGGATTTGTGGTCAGGGGCCTGGGCGGGATTGGCTCGGTCACTACCGGATCCTCGGCGACCCTGGATGGAAGGGCTCGCGGGCGCACACCGTCCCAGTGGTGGTCGGTGGAGAAGGACCGGCAGAACTGGGAACCGGTGATCTAGCTTTGAGCTCCGGCGGGCGTGGAGACCGCTGTGGGTCCTGTCGTGACGCTGGAAAGGAACACGTGGGAGGGGGGCACCGGAGAGAGGCTGGTCCTCAAAAACCAGCCTTGGGACTGATGGAAAGGCGGGTGGTGAAAATAACAGTGGAAGAAGTCAGTCTGGCGAGGGGCAGGAGGAGTCAGGTCCTGGGAGCTGTGGAGCAGGTGACAGGGGAAAGAATTGTGATAAACTGGAGTTTTTTTTTCCGAGACGTCAGGTAAGAAAAGAAGCTGAATTATTTAGGGTTTAGGAATATGAAATACACGTCGTTTGTCACTCTTTCTCATATGTCCCATTTTCTGCCTTGTAAATAGACACCTCTTTTGGTAGATCTTTAAAAGAAGAGTGGTCAGGAGAGTTTTCAAAGTCTAGCCATTTCACATATGTTAGGTAACATGAAATCAGAATGTCAGTCATAGGGAATGTTTGTTCATTTGGCATGTATTTAACTGAGCTTCACCGTGGTGTTCAATAGAAACTTCTGTTTGCTCTCTGAGCAATTCAGTACAATAGCCACTAACCCAGTGTGGCAGTTAGGCACTTGAAATGTATCTAGTGCGACTGAGGGACTACGTTTTTTATTTAATTTCGTTTAGATGTAGATTTAAATAATCACCTGATGACAGTAGCTATGGTATTGGACAGCACAGATCAAGATGCTGGAATTAGTGCAGTGAACAAACAGGCAAAAGTTCCTGTGCCTGTAGAGCTCACATTCATTTAAAGTGAATTTCAGTTTTCTTTTGACAATTTTTTTACAACTTAATATTGCTGCTTACTGGCATGGCCGATGATGGTGTCTGCCATTGCAAGACCTATGAGGAAGGACTTGCTGAAAAACAGTTGACAGAGCAGATGTGGCCTATGTGATGTCCAACATTAGCTTAATTATAGTAAAAAAAAAAAAAAAAAAAAAAATCAAAGCCAGTGAAATGTAATGGTTTTCTTGTATAAATGAATAATTTTCTTTTTTTCTGTTGTTGCTCCCTTTTTGAAAACCGCATAATTGATGAAGAATGACTCTTGGGAGAAGTCCTCCTGGATGTAACATTTCCAGGAAAAGAAGCTGCATTTGTGATTTGCATTAATTCACTGGACAGTATCTCAGTTTTTCTTAGGATCGTGTCTTTTCATAGTGGGGATGTTGAGTGACTCGGACAGATGTTTGCCTACTAGAATCCAATTAGTGAGAAAACCAAATGGATGTTTAGACTAGAGTCCTTATTCTTAAATGAATTATATTCAAGGAGGATCAGCAAATTTAAAAAGTCATCTTAAAGAGAGATTTCTTGTCTTGCTCCCAGTTTCTGTGCATTTGGTGTGTAGAATCTGAGGAGTCTTATGTCATGTACCCAAAAAAGAAATATGTAATAGTGTGTGTGTGTGTGTGTGTGTGTGTGTACCATATGTATACAGTTTAAAAGTTATTTGTACATTGACCGGGAGTTTACAAACAAATTTTTCAGCATTTTTCCAATCTCCACATTCTTATTTTTTTCAACTGTGGTGAGTCATCATCTCTTTCTTTCTGTCTAATGTTTGAAAATAACTTATGTTTACATTTCTAAATACCTCTTTTAAATTTTCAATGGCAAAGTGTTGGGACTAGAGCACCCTGTAACTGATTGGGGTTTAGCTGATGCGTGAACATGTGGGATCTTCCACATGTTCTTTGTATGTCTAGTTGGACAAAAATTAGAAGTCACCTTGGTCTTTATCCTGGAAATGTACAGCTGAAAAGAAGACATGGCATGGATAGTTTCATTAAGGTATCTTTATGCCTGTTGACATGGAAAACACTACATGCCTTTGGAAGCTACAGTAGAAAATGACCTGCTATCCCTTTAAGCATTTGTAAAATGTTGTTTCTTTTTTTCTCTCCCATGTTGCAAGAAGGATTTGAAGAGTCTTGTCAGAAGAATACAGAATATGCAGTAGGATATGCAAAACTCTCTAAGAATTATGGAAACCGGTTTCCCAATAACTTTCTGAACTCATCCATGGTAGATGGAGTAACAGAAGGCTTGTGACGCTGTGGAATGTTTGTTACAGTCATCTCCCAGCAGTAAAAAATTAACTGCCAATAAGATCGCATAGTTGATGTTGTTTGATATGGGGGGATTTTGTATCAGGTTTCATTTTAAAGACTTTTTTTTTTCCTAAACATGTTTTAAAGCTGCAGTATCAGAGGTTTTATGTGTAGAAGAAATTGCCTACTGTTAGAAATGGGACACGGAATAAGTAGAAATGAAAGGAACTTTGAAAATAAATTTTAAGAAGCGATAGGCTTAAGGTCTTGGGAGGCAGTTATTTGCAGTGCATTAAGTTTCATGTGCAGGTTTTAAAAGAGTTTATTTCGCTTCTTGTTTTCTACTCACTCTTAGGCTCCTGCTTACCATCTTATCTTGGAAGGAATTCTAATACTCTGGATAATCAGACTTCTTTTCTCTAAAACTTACAAACTGCAAGAACGATCTGATCTTACAGTCAAGGTAAGAAATTAAATCCCAGTTTTTTTATTTGGTGTATGATGAGAGTTGCTACATCTTCAAAAAAGGACTTGTGGTCGCCAACTACGTGCTAAAATATTTTCTGGAATGTAAGGAAATCAAGGGGAATGTGATACAGGGTAGGTAAAATGTGGGAAAGCCAAGGATGAAGTACCTATCCAGAGGAGTACCAGGGGACCAACTTCCCTGCTTTGCTAGAGGCAAAGAGCAGTCTCACGAGTAGGCGATGAAAGGGAAGCATGGGCAACTACTGGATTTCCAGTGTCCATGTGCAAGATTACATGAGTTGCTAGAGCCCCACTCTTTCTGAAGTCTGACCAAAAGTTTTCCCTGTGGCGAGACTCCTTCTGGCCCCACAGTCCCCACCTCCCCACCCCAAGCCAGGTGAACCTTAGGAAATAGAAGAGCCTAGAGGATCAATGGCGCTCCCCCACTGCTGTCCATTCATGTGCAGGAAGATGTAGGAGCACTTAGTGGCTGCCTCAGTGGGAGAGAGAAAGAACAGTTTTGACTGCAGCATAGTTTCCATCACTTGGGTTGTTTTGCCAGGTACCCAGGGAGGCAGGGATTGTGAGAGACGTTTTTCTGCAACAATCTCTAAAACGTTGGTTCACCGGGCAGCATTGAGTGCAGCACAAAGATGAAGCACGGGGCTTTTCTTTACTTCCTGGACCGTTCACAGAAGGAAATGCAAGTGGAATCACCACAGCAATTTACGGTTGCTTCCCCGGTTTCTCCGACTTGCTGCTGCTGTCTTGAGCATTTATGTTAATCATGAAACCATCAGGCACTGTCCCTAGGGAACATGCAGCATGTGGTTCTGAGGGCAGAAAGTTTTAGCAACCTAGGTAAAGCACAATAAAGAGATGTCTCATTGCATGATTTCTTGTAACCTTTACTATGCCGGTGCATATTTGACCTCTGTTTGGAGGAATACCCTAAACTTGACCGCAGATCGCTCTCCCCCACTGCCGACCCCCCGCCCCGCCCCGTCCCTTTTAATGACTACTTTGTGGGATTACCTTGCCACTGAGCAAATACTCTTTAAATAACATTGCAGTAAGACTGGGCCCCCAAACCAGAAACCCAGCCTATACTTTTTCCTTTGGTGTTTAGGAACTTCTCATGGAGGATTATGGGCCATGACACAAATTAGTCCGAATGTTCTTAGTTTTTGTTCTTCCTATCTCAAAAGATCATCCTGCTCTCAACTACAATATTGTTTCCAGACAAATGAGTTTTAAATTTAAACATATTGATCCACCCACATACACATTTTCAAAAGAGTGATACGTAAACTAGTTTTAGAGTGATCCTCTGAAAGCAGACTTAGCTAGAACAAGATTTAGTGATCACTGACACCTTGCCCTAACAACAGTGGAAGAAAAAGGAACTGTGAGTGTTGTGAGTGAGAAGTGCCCTTCTCAGTTAGCTAGGTGTACAGAGGCTCTTGAACAGCAAGGCACCTTGAGTGGATTCTAACATGTGTCTGCATGGTAGCAGTGCACAGTGTGTATGACATGTACTCCAGGCTTGTTCCGGCTGCTCTTCTCTCCCATGAGGCCATTGGCCGAAACACATGAGAACTTTAGTGGTTGATTTATTCAGCCAGCGTTTTTGAGAGCCTGAAAATCAGGTGACTGTGCTTTTGGTACTGCTCTGGAGTTGCACATCAGGGGAAGAACGCACAGAAGCATTTATCGGAAGTATGAGACTAGAGCTACTAAGAGAGGGTCTACTTGCAAGGCATCATGTTAATTTAGGTGCCTCATCTCATCCTGTACATCCAGACGACATTTTCAAAATTACCTGTTCTTCTGATACAAGAACGGATAAGAAACTCAAAATAGTCAAAATACTTATAATGCATGAAGTAACAGATAAAGGGAATAAAATAGCTTTTTATGACAATTTCCAAACAAACTCCCATTGCAGGAATTAGGAGAGTCTTTTTTTCTGTATTTCAGCTACACCTGAATCCCTGCACGTGGCTTGTAGAAACAGTGCTTTGTGATCTGGTTGATCCCTTCCGGTGATGGTCACCTCTGTAAGCACTTTGGGTGTGGCTTCCTGTGTTGTCTTGGAATAGAGGCTGAGCTGCTTCTCACCTTTGTATTGTAGACTTTCTTTTTCTTTTACAATTTATAAGGTGTGCGTCATCCTTCCCACAGTGAAAAATTTTGACCATAGAAATAGAGTTTCCTCAGTTTTTCCAGTCACCCACAAAGCCGCTTGGAAAAAGAGCCTTTAGCCTACAGTAAGAGGCCAAGAGGGTAAGTGCCCAAAACTCAGGAGTGATTCTGTTTCATTTCTAGCCACAACTAGACCTGTTTCTCACAGTGTGTTCATTATGACAGTTCCACTGCAACAAACAATTTAGATGCTGCTGGAGTCACTGTCCAGTGACTAGCATTGTGCTGTGTTTTAACACCTTTTCTCCCATAGGAAAAAGAAGAATTGATCGAAGAGTGGCAACCAGAACCTCTTGTTCCTCCTATCTCAAAAGACCATCCTGCTCTCAACTACAACATTGTTTCAGGGTAAATCAGTTTGCTACTTGAAGGACTTTCACTCAGTTTCCTGTGGGGGAACTCACCAAAATGTATAAGTGGTTTAATGGTGATCCTTTTTTACCTGAAATAAAAGACTTAAATATTTCTGCAAGTCAAAAACTATCTGCTTGGTTGCCAATATAAGACTTTCTTTTGGGAGTGGTATGGGCATTTTTTAAAAAGATTTTATTTATTTATTTTTAGCAAAAAGGAAGGGAGAGAGAAAGAGAGGGAGAGAAACATCAATGAGTGGTTGTCTCTCTCACGCCCCCAACTGGGGACCTGGCCCACAAACCCGCATGTGTCCCAAGTGGGAATCGAACTGGTAACTCCTTGGTTTGCAGGCTGGCACTCACTCCACTGAGCCACACCAGCCAGGGCTGGGCATTTTTTTATAGTCTCTAGGCATTACTGTTCATACCTTTTTCTGAAAACAATCTCTTTTTCAAAGTAATACACACGCACGATAATATGTCAAGTGGTCTGACGCACTTAAAATGAAAAGCAACAGTGCTGCTTTTTCCCACCTGGGTTTTTTGTTTTGTTTGGGTTTTTTTTTTTTTTGTTTTTTTTTTTTTGACTGTACATTTGTAGCAGGGTGCCTTCATAATTAGGTCTTAACAGTATGCTGACACCATTACTACTTGATTGAGTAATGATGGAAAACACCTAATGGCTCTCACAGTAGGAATTATGAAACTTAAGCTCACTGATCCTACGTCTCTCGTTGTTTCCGGAGTCTGATCTGTTTCTATTTTTAGTTCTCCTGTTAGTTATCTTTGCTTTTCGTGTGTGGGGTTTTGTTTTTTTTTTCTTCGAAGATTCCACTTATTTGTTTATTTATTTATTTATTTATTTAGAGAGAGGATAAGAGAATGACAAAGAGAGGGAGAGAAACATTGCTGTGCAAGAGAAACATGAATCGGTTACCTCCCATACGACCCCACCCGGGGACCTGGCCTGCAACTGGCGGCCTTTAGGTTTGCAGGATGATGCCCAAGCCACTGAGCCACACCAATCAGGGCATCGTATACGCCTTTATTAACTAAGAAGTATTTTAAAAATATAGAAAATATCATGCACATGTGTATCAACCGTCTAGAATTAACGGGCAGTAACACTTTGTTATCTTTTTTTGAAATATGTTTTTAAGAAGAAAGAAAACATTACAAATATAGCTAAAGAAACCCATACCACTTCCTCTTGCCTCCCACACAAGATCACCACTGTCTTGTAGTCGGTGGGTGTTTTCCTTTGCTTATGTTTATACTTACTACATATGCCTGCCATCATGAAAATATTTAGCATTTTGTTTAAAATTGTGATGCAGGTTATTCTCCTGAGCATATCCTTCTGCTTTGATCCAAAAGAGCCTTGTATTCTTTGCTTTTGTGGGTTCTTTGACCTTACAAAAATTCCGCATGTTCTGAAATCAAACTTACCGACCATTAATCTTTTGAAAGAAATCCTTCCCTGCCCCAAAGGTTTAATTTGCCTGTTTTCCATGCAGTGGTCAGTTGTCCCAGCATGATTAGTTGAGTAGCCCATTTTTTACCTACTGATTAGAAATTCACCTTTTGTGTACCAAGAACCCTCATAAAGGGTCTATTTCTGGCTTTGTTTCTATTCTTTAGGTGCACTTGTCTCTCCCTGTGCCAGAATCTCACTCCTATAAATAACACAGCTTGAGAATAAGACTTGACAAAAGTGAGTCCTCCTGTTCTTGAGAATAGGCTAGACCAGGAGTCCCCAAGCCCCAGGCCACAGACTGGTACCAGTTAGGAACTGGGTCGCACAGCAGGAGGTGAGCAGAGGGCGACTGAGCTGAGCGAAGCTTCATCTGTATTTACTGCTGCTCCTCATTGCTTGTATTACCTCCTGAGCTCCATACCTGCCTCGCCACCCCTCCCCCAGCTCATGGAATAATTGTCTTCCACGAAACCGGTCCCTGGTGCCAAAAAAGGTTGGGGACTGCTGGTCTAGACTTACTCTTGACTCTGTTCTTCACTGAGAGTTTAGTTTCAGTTAATCAAATTTGACCCAAAAAGTGGGTTTAGGTTTGTGACTAGCAGTGTGTCGAATTTATAGATTAATTTGGAGAGAATGGGAAACTCGCCAATAATGGATCTCATCGCCCTGTGCCTGGGTTGTCACTTGTATATTTAGGTCTTTTATGTCACACAGTAAAATTACATGACTTTCTTCCTAAAGACTTGGCTTGTCTTTTTTGTTTCTACTTTTATTTTGAAACAATTGTGGATTCACCTGCAGCTGTGAGATATAGCACAGAGAGATCCTTGTTGGGTTTTCCCCAGTGGTAACATTTTACGTCCATAGTACAATATCGCAGCCAGGAAACTGACATTGTGTATCTTCTAATGGATTTGTCCCTAGGTTCCAGGGTTTGGGTTTCTGTCAGGAGAAGTGTCTTTTTCTTCTGTTCCTGTGTCATTGCACTGGCTGGGGGCACCTCCCATACAGTGTTGAATAAGAAAGGTAACAAGGGCCTCAGTGTCCCTGGTGGCTTGTAAGAGATAACCTGTATCAAGTACTGAGGCCTGCCATTCTCTTCTTGGTTTGCGAAGGGAACTTTTTGGTTTTCAAATGAGAATATTAAAATTTACCAAGTTCTTTCTGTCTATTGAAATAATCATGACTTTTTTCCTCCAATCAGTTACCATGTTAAATTATGCTGGTTGATTTTTAAGTTGGCTGTGTATATATGTAAATTTTTATTAGAGAAACTGCTATCCGCGTGCCACGCATCCTCACCCCAGATTCCCAATCTGTAGAAGTAATTACTTGTCTTTCTTTAGCTCCTTTTTTTATTCTTCTGGCATTTGCCTCTTGTTTTTCTAAGGAACTTGCTTATGCTGTTACTTCTTGAATACGTTTCTCTCTTTCCCAGCTTTAATTGTATTCATTAGCGGTAGGACATAACACATGCACACTTGCTGTCCCCAGGCCCATGGTAGCCCCTCTCGTGCCTTAGTGTGGACTAGAAAGGCCCCTCTTCCTCTGGGAGCACAGCAGCCTGATGTGGAACTTGGCTGTGCAGGCACGTGCAGCCACGCTGTTCATCCCTTCTCCCAACAGAGTTCTGTTTTTGCATTATGTGTCCTTAGATTATTTAGCGCTTACATTTTTATGACTGCATTAATATCATTCATTAGTTAAGATTAGCATCCATTTTTTTCAATATGCAGAATATTTTAATTACGTTTTCTTTCTGGTTTTCATTTTTGTTTGTCCGCTTGCTTGCTTGGTTTTACGTATTAGTCTACTTCATCCCATTGTCTTCCTCCAGGAGTTATTTCTTGGGTCCATTTTCATTTTTCCTCTTGGAACCATTGTCTTCCTGCTCCAGTCGTGACTGGTTGCTAAATAGAGCTGCTGCCCAGGGTGGCCTGGGATCTCAACCTCTGCTTTGGCTCAGAAATCCCTTCATCTCTTTCCTGCATTGTTCGTGTCCTCGGCCCGAGTTTACTCCCGGGTACTAGTAGACTACAGGTTGACTCCTGAGGAAGGCTATGGAAGGTAAATTTTTTGAAACCTTATACATCTTAAAATTGTTTTTTATTTTACTCTTTTACACTAGAGTGATTGTTTTTCCTGCTTTTATTGCTCTCTTAGATACATTTCCAGTGTCTGGTGATCTTTACATCCTTTTCTTTCAACATGCAGAATACACTCATTGTAATCAACAACAAGCATACTGTACGTAGTCTGCAAAAAGCAGGAAAAAAATCGTGTTTTGTTGATATTGATAAACTTAGAGTTACTCCTCAATTGCTGAAGTACCTCTTTACACTCAGTACTGAGTTAACACAAGAGTAAGTGAGTTTACTTAACTCGGATGGATTTTTTCCCTTCAAATAACAGCCTTATTGAAATATAATCCATAAACCATAATACTCAACCTTTTAAGACACACAGTTACGTGAGTTTTATTATATTCACAGACTTGTGCAACCATTGCCACCATCCAATTCCAGAATATTTTCATCACCCCAAAGAGAAACCCCACACCCATTAGCGGTCACTCTCCGTTCCTCCCACTCCCCAGCCCCTGGCAGCACGAATTTACTTTCTCTGTGGATTTGCCCAGCCTGGATGTTTCATATAAAAAGAATCATATATGTGTGTGTGTATAGTACTTGGCCTTTTGTGTCTGCCTTCTTTCCCTTAGCCTGGGATTTTCAAGGACCATCCATGTTGAAGCATGTGTCAGTGTTTCATTCATCTTAATGGATGAATAATATTGCAGTCCGTGGATAGATCACATGTTGTTTACACATTCATCAGTTGATGGACATTGGTGTTGTTTCTACTTGCAAATACATGAAAAAAGAAAAAATACATTTACATATATATTACTCCTATGAATATTTGTGTTCACATTTTTGTGTGGACATACGCTTTCATTTCATTTAGTGTATATACCTAAGAGTACTGGAACTGTGAGTCCTACAGTAACTCATTTTGAGGAATCGCCAAACTGTTTTCCATCCTCCAGGCGATGTAAGAGAGCTCTAATTTGTCCATGTCCTGGCCAGCACTTATTGTCTGTCTTTTTGATTATAGCCATCGTAGTAGGTAGGAAGGGGTATCTCCCTGTGGTTTTAACTTACTCTTCCCAAATGGCTAGAGATATTGAGCATCTTTTCATGTGCTTATTGTTCATTTATATGTCTTCTTTGGAGACTAGTCAATACTTAAGTCATTTGCCCACTTTTTAATTAGCTTATTTGTCTTTTTATCATTGAGTTGTAAGATTTCTTTATGCATTTTGGAAACTAGGCCCTTATCAAATATATGACTTGTAAATATTTTCTCCCATTCTGTGGGGGTTTTGTATCTTTTATAGTATAGTGGATTTTTTTTAAGATTTAAAAAGAATTTTATGTATTGATTTTAGAAAGAAAGCGAGAGAGGGAGAAACATCAATTTGTTGTTTTGATATTGATGCATTGATTGGTTGATTCTTG